TGGCTCTCCACTTCATAGGAACCAGCCTGGGGCTGATTTTGAGTTTGGTCCTCTTTCCCCCTTGTGGAATCAAACACCGACAGACTTGGTCCCCACTTGGTTTAAGCAGCTGGCATTGTAAGCAGGATTCGTTGCCATGGTTGCAGGCCTATGAGTTCACAAGGTTTTGTAAGAGGAAGAATAAAGAGGCCTGGGACAAAATCCTTAGGTAGGGAGAGTGGCGGCTTCTGGAGTGGCCTGGAGCCTATGACACGCTGGCTACCAAGGATGCTGACGTAGGGTCATCGAGGTGGTTCCGACCCATAGCGACCCTATATAGAGTTTCTGAGGAATGGCTGGTGGGTTTGAACCACTGACCTTGCAGTGCAAACTGACCTCTTAATCCTGAGCATTGTTCTGCAGCTGGACACCAGGCCTGAGCCAACTGGAATCCACCCTGTCAAAGGACCAAGGTCATATGCATATGAATGGGATTAGTTCCAGGGAAAATAAAGATTGAATTTGAGTGTTTTCAAAGGTTTATGTGTTTGATTGCCTTATGGTATTGGTTTCTCCTGTCTACTATTGTTAACAGACATACATGAATGATAGAAATGAATATTGGAAATTATGATTACAAAGAGCTTGTAAACCTGCCTTCAGCCTACACTTTATTAAATTTGCTAAAAGGGACTTCAGAATTTGCCTAGAAAAAATAGGCTTCTTGGTTTAAGCATTTATAGAGTATGGGGCTTTTAGGAGGAATCCTGAGCCCCATCCAGAGCCTTCAGAGTTGGTACATTTGCATTTGAAAAAAAAACATGCAGACCAACCCAGAACAACTGGGAGCACAGGAGATTTCCTGACTGAAAGAAAGCCGAGAAAAAAGCTGACAGTTAGTCATTTTGAGTTTCAGAGGCATCAAGGCAGTGAGTCAGCCCATCAGAGAACCCCCCTTCTAGGATGAACGTTTAAGGTCTCTGGTAACCACCTGGGTCTCTGAGTGAGGGAAACTGGGGGAAATGCAACAATAAAGACAAGGGCAGAGTTTGAACATGTCCATCGGCACCTGTCATCCTTGAGATAAAAGGAGCGGGAAGGGAGAACTGACCACCAACGGCTGGGAGGACAATGGAAATAGGTTAGGGACTCCAGTGCGGGGACTGGTCAGTTCTGCTGGTTTAACATGAGCCTCCTCACACGCAGCAACCAGCAATAACCTAGGACCATCAAGAGCCACGAGCAGCGGACGTTCTGTGGACCTTAAGATGCGTGTAGGAAGCAGCAGCTGCAGCAGAGGCAGTTTTCCCTTCAATGGCTGCACTGCTCACAGAGAGGCTGACGACATTCTATTAGGTCTCAGCTCTGGGCATTTACAGACAGCGCTAAAGGAGCTGTGTAACACACAGGAGGCCGAGGATGAGAAAGGTAAACCGTGATACAGCTGATTCTACGCTATCCTGACTTCTTCTTGTTACGTGCCGTGGAGTCGGTTCCGACTCATAGCGACCCTGCACAGGGTTTCCGAGGCTGTAAATCTTTACTGGAGCAGAACACCTCATCTTTCTCCTGGAGAACAGCTGGTAGTTTCAAACTGCTGACCCTGAGGTTCGCAGCCCGATTCGTAACCACAATGCTACCAGAGCTCCTTCTGTCCTGACTGGAGAACTTTAAATCCTAAAATGTTTCTGACCCTAGGAAACCCCATGCTGTGAGTATTGTCTGTGAGCCCGGTGTGGTCACTGCAAGAGATTATCAAACCCCAAACAGAAGTGGAGCACACTGGAGGGAGCTGGTGTCAGAAAAGGATAAAGACTGGGGGCGGGGGGGGGGGGGGGCATGGCTGCTTTCTGTCTTATGATGTCACAGGAGGTCACACATGGTCCCGCATCCTTTCCTGTGATCTCTGAGATTAAAGGACTTGCCTCAAGGAGCCGAACTTCACAACAGTCCTGGTACCTGTGACAGTTCAGGCTTCTCAGGTTTGGCAGCTAAGACACAGCCCCCACCCCCACCCCACCCCACACACTCCCCACAAGGAAAGCTAATATGACGCTGTCCCCTCGTGTCCCCTCCTTCCAATATCATCAGACACCCAGACAACACTGCAGGGATCGCACATCTGGCTCATCCTCCGACCTCCAGCTCCGTTAGCTCCGATCTTACCTGCCCATCAGCTCCTGTAGCAATGTATACCTGATGAAAGGACTTGGGGCTTGTCCACCTCTACAGCTGAGTGAGCCACTGCCTAGACAGAAATCTCTCTTTCTCTGTGCATATATGTACTTGATATATGTACACCAGAAAACCCAGCTTCCTACAGTGCCCAAGTCCAGGCATCCTGAACACCGAGTTCTCTTCCCAGCACTGTCCCCCAGACGTGTGCCCACACTGCCCACCGCAGCAGGGCTTTTCCGATTCAGGGTGCACAGATATCATTGGGAGGGCTTTCTGAAGCACAGACTTCTGGCTTCCACACCCAGAGCTGGTTCCTGGGGGTGCTCCTAAGCACTGAGCATTGTCACACAGCAGTCTGTTTGTCACTGTGGATGACAAGGGAACAAGCCACAGCCTATCAGTGCAGACGGAAACATTACATTTGTGGATTTCATCTAAAAACTAAAAAAAAAGCCCAACCAGTTGCCACACAGTCAATTCCACCTCGTGGTGACCCTGTGTGAGCAGAGAACTGCTCCATAGAATCTGCTAGGCTGTGACCTATCCAAGGTGGATCCAGGCCTGTGTGGATGGATCCCCACACGCCACCCAAGGACTCCCCAAGGACACACGAACTCTTCTCAGATCCCCAGCCCAGGGCTGCAAGTGAGGGTTCCGGGCCATCTGGATGTTTTCCCACACAACTGTCCAACAGCACTCGCCTCACTAGGCTCCAGCTGTCACTCCTCTGTCCCCTAACGACAGGAAGACCACGGCTGGCTCAGCTGTGCATCCCTCATCAATTCCAATTTCATGTCCCATGTGTGTCAACAACTAACACATACTGCTACCCAGTGTTGGGGTTACACTGTGTGCACCGAATCCGACTGTACAAGACAAACATTTTGTCAACAAGAAGACCAGAGTGAGAGTTTCAGGGCTGGGTGCATGCCCAGTGCCCGTCCACAACTTTACAAAAATCAAAGCACGAGTTACAGCCTGTGATGTCGCTCGGCTGTCCAAAAACAGTAGAATAAGCCAGAAAATGGAGCAAAACAGTACGAGCTATTTTGTTAAACTATTGTTGTTGTTGTAAAGTGCCGTTGAGTCGATTCCAACCCATAGCGACCCTGTACAGGGTTTTCGAGGAGCAGCTGGTGAGCTTGAACCGCCGACCTTGCAGTTCAAATGGGTTTGTAGTCTGGTGCATTAACCCACAGCGCCACACCAGGACTCCGTAATGTTAAACTATTAGCAAATATTTTAAAACCTCACATTTTTTTTAACATGAAATGGAAAGCACCCCATGCTACTCAGAAACCCTCATGAGTGCCCTGGGTTTTCCTGACAATCTCCTGAAGGCACTGATGTCAGAGGGCTCCTTCCTCTGAGCAGGGAGGAAAAGGGGGGGTTTGTCAGGAGCATATTTTATAAAACACAGGCGCCATAAAGAACAGTGCCCCTGATTAAAGTTAGTTGTAAACTGACTTCCAGCAGTTGCTTCGAATGGTCTCCCTGGGGAAATTTATTTTGCTTTTGCGCGATCTGACAAGCACATCACCCTACCAAGCACATTTCCCCTCCTCCAACCCCCCCGGAATCAGCAGGAACTGTGCTGGGCATGGATAAATGTTGAGATCTCTGATTGATAACACTTGATCACCAATACAATCAGTAATTCCAGCTAAATATGCATTCACCGTTTGCTGTATGGGGTCCTTTAGTGCTGAGTTCCGTTTTGTAAATTTCTCTTTTAAATGTGCTAATCATTTTTACATTTCATCATTTGACCCAAAGACCCAATAATATTGATATGTTTATATGTTCCCTAATAGGATTGCACAAGTAATGTTCATGAGAAGCAGCTGTAGTATCCCTTACGTCCACACACACTGCCTTTCTGTGTGTGCTCACAGAGCACGCTGACTCATGGGGACACAGCCTAGAACCACAGGAGGAGGTCTCCTTGGCTAACTGTAGACCACCAGGACTTTCTTCGACCATACCCCTGGGTGGGTTCAAACCCCCACCACGCTTCCACCAAGTCATCAGACGTCTCATAATTCTTTATCTCCAAAGAGATGAGTGTGTACAACTAAGAAGGAATGAAGTGAACGAAAACTGTGCTGGACTTTCCACAGTACACACATGCTGTGAAAGGGTATTTTAATTTGTTTCTATGAGATGCGCTGTTGGTCATTTAAGCCCTCGGGATAACAATTCAAACTGCTATCACTGAGGGTGAGACTTGGGGAGTAGGCAGCAAAGCTGAGACCCCAGTCAGCATAGGGACCGCTCACAACACAACCACACCACACTCCTGCTGAGAC